CAGTCACAAATTCCCATAAACACCCTCTCATTTTTTAAACCTTTGTCTTGTAACCCAAATATTCTCCCTTCAAAATAAATGGCACTCTCAACACGACACGCAAGAATGGCACAATTACACAGAAGACAAATACTTTGATTGAATATAAAAAATATATTTTGCATTGTATAAATTCACTTTTTCCCACATCCTACATGTAATTAATTGTTAAATTTAAACAATGTTTGTAAACCCCATGCCCTGAAGATGATCTCAATAAAGATCGAAACCTTGGCACGATAAAGAAAATGTTTTTCTGAAACCTACATCACACCAGACCGCATCTCACGATTTCTGAATAATCTTCAAAATAAAGTGTGTTTTTTTAAGTCTAGTTATGAGGGTCTACTTAACTGACGCTCAAACAGGAATTTAAAGTCATTATCATTTAGGATCAGCAAAAAGTATCACTCTTATGTTTATTTGGTCAAAAATCATGATGTTCACATCCCCTCAACATTGTATTAGTCCTAAGAATGAAACTGCCTTTTTGTATTTAGACAAAGCTGGGCTCAGTGTTTTTGAATTTTGTTTACAGCGGATATAAAACTCTTTAAATCGTTTGGATTGCCATTAATATAGATCAATATTAGGTTACTAGATTTAAACTAACATTAAGCTCTTAAAATCTTCTTGAATCATTATGTATACTACAGATTCTGATTCATTCATACAAAATCATTTATCATCCAAATTTCTAGGATAAGTGAAGAAATGGTTCTTAATTGATAGACCAGTTAATTATATATAACTCCCCATCCACAAACGGAACATTTCCTGAATATTGAGGGTGAACATGAATAGCATCTGAGGGGGTTAATTACCTAACAATATCTTACCTAACCTCCAGGGCACAAAGGAATTTTGGGTAATGAACAAGCAAATAAACAGGCCCGATCTGCAAGACCAGATAACAAGATCAAATCATTTGATCATCAACAATCTGTCCAAGGCGCAAGAAGTAATACAGATCAGTATGAGGTATGGCACTCCTAAACATAGATTAATTACAGTTACTCTCACTCTCTTGGAGGTTAGTTTGGAATTTTTAGTAGTTGGATCTTGCAAACATCTTTTATGAAGATGTCAATATGAAAGAGATGTTCTAATAAAATAATAGAGATAGGTCAATATGGGGGTTGGGAAGAGAGATGGGCGTTGACTGTATATCTAAGGATTAGTGATTCTAAGGTCTGGATTCTCCGGAATGTTTGGTTGAACCTCATAGTCAATTCCGTTTGTCCCTACTGGCTTCAGTTTGTATATTCCAGTATATTCGGGCAAGTTGTTCCTTTCTGCCCACACTATGCTCGATTGTATTTGTTTTCTGTAACACAATTTCTTGATTTTTATTCAAAATTTAAAAAATTTACCTTCTGAGATAGAACAAGCTTAATGTTCTACAAATGGGAAGGTAGAAAAAATTCAGCTTTTATCTCTTCCTTGCTTCCAATCTGTCCACGACCGTCGAAAAAGATTTTTTCCGAACAAGAATTTTTTCCCCGGAGTGATGGTGAGGTGACTTTTCGATCGATGAATTGTCCGCAAACGAAGAAGCACCGTACACAACCTTTGCTACCACGTCTTCCAACAATAAAATCGTCTTGATTAAAAATGTTTGAAAGTGAATGAAACAATGAAGATGATGAATCTGTTCCGGAAAATGATCCAAAAAAAGCAGTTCGTTGGTCCAGAGTTACTCCAAAACTTGCTGAAAGCAACTTACTGTGAGTAGTAACTATCTTTTTAAAAAGATTGTACTCAAAAACTTGTATTACAAGCGGAATTGTCACTAACGAAATTTCAAAAAAGTCAGACATTATTATTTATTATTTGCTATTTTTTTAGAATCAGTGGAAACCGAATTGTTATAAGAATGCAATAAATATTTTGTAACGAACAATGACTGAGAATTTTTTTTTAATCAGTGGAAGATATGATGTTTGTTGATCGACCTGCAGATAATCTATGTGGAGTTTTAATCTTCAGAGAGGTCATTAGACAGGTGAAGAAAGAAGAAGACTAATTGTTGGGTTCACCAAGATTTCGGCAATTTATAATGCCATCATCAGGGCCTATTTATTAAAAATTAAAACAAATAATATACAATCAACAATCAACAAAATAAAATAATATACATACTTTCCCAAGAGTGCAGAAAACGATTAACATGGAAAAACTATTATAAAAGCGTTTTGGGTTTAAGGTTATGAAGCACACTTGGTGAACCCAACAATTAGTCTTCTTCTTTCTTCACCTGTCTAATGACCTCTATGAAGATTGAAACTCCACATAAATCGGTGGAAGATTTACTGTTTTACAGCACTATCTCTACTGATGCACATACTTTGTGAAATTTTCGACAACTGGAGCGGATTCAAAAGAAGAGATAATGTCTACCACACGATGACACTTGGATGGTTGAATGGCAGTTACGAAACTCAAACCGATCGGTGGGATTATATTGTGAGAATTTAGAATTGGAAGAGTTCTTTTTAATAGAATCTTTTCCAAAATTTTACCTAAAACGTGTAGTGGAATTATTTACCTATATGAAGTAGTATATAGGTTAGATGTTATGTTAGACTTTTTTGGTCTAGAAAATAAATCTTCTTGAGTTTACACAGTAAACCCGGGTGGCATAGCCGATCGAAAGCCTGGGTTACGCCTAGGAAGAGACCTGAACAACACTGTTGGCGCTCAAGAGAAGCACCTTTTTTAATGAAGTATTTTTTCTTTTCTATGAGTATTTCTTGCTTTTCTTCTCTGATTGATTTTTTAAAGGTCGAAATGCTTCTGTAGGCTAGAAAGATAGTATCAACATGTTTTTTTAGAATTTGATTAGGATGATTTTAGGAGAGCGTCCCTCACAGTAAAGTTCCTGAAAAAGAAATAGTTAAAACCAACATAAGTTTGATATTTTACGACTAAAATCATTAATGATCTGGGATTTCAGAGAAAATGAAAATATCCTGAATAATAGAGGAGCTTTGAATCGTTCCATACAGTGGAAGTAAACTGCAACGGCCTCCAGTATTCGAAGGGACAGGAAAACATCGAAATTTCTAAGCCAAACCTTTTCACTCCCACTTTCATTAGAATAACATCGATAACCGATTTGAGAGAAGCTGCTCCGGCTTTGTTCGAAATTACGTCGAGTGAAAATTTCCCTTAATTGGCTTGCTCCATTAAAAATTGATGGTTCGCTTGTTGGAAGCTTTGGGTTGTTACCACCACCACCTGCTGGTACACGTTATTTTGTTGTTTCTTATATATTATATTTTAGGTGTTAAAATAATAAACCCTATTACAGACAAAAATAATAAATATGAAGATTTTATTTTAATAGTACAAGTTTTGAAAACAAAATATTTGTCAATAAGAGCCAATTTACAATTAAATTATAAACATAACCAAAAAATAGGTTATCAACTTTTCATTAGCTGGAAGAATATAATAGAATTTAAATTCCGAGTCAAAACAAAATCAAATTGTATGTCAGCCCTAACTATTTTTTAATTTTTTTTTTAAATTGAATGAACACTCAGGACAAGCAATAGAGAGATAAAGTGAAACAAACAAAATAAAACAATTAGCATGGTAGCATTCCAATTATGATACTCTGATCAGAACATGGTCACTTTTCTTGGCCTGTCTATTCTCTAGGAGTCTTAAGCGTCTTCAAACGCGTTTCGGCTTTACGCCATCTTCAGTGAGGAACTGGACATCTCCGAAGAGTGATTAAATGCCTATCTGTTTAACATGTGTCGACTCGCAGACCAACAACCACCACCAACTCCAAATTATAATGCGCTACATTTCACTTTATTCAGTTCCACTATCATCACTGAGCAGGAGATGTTTGAAGTCTGAGCCAATACGCAACCTCACTGGGTTTGGGAGGAGATTCAGAGGGACGAAAAGTTTTGGATGAGTGGGATAAGGTTGACCTGAAATGAATTGTGGAACTTGCTATGGTGAAGATATGAAAGTTATTGTGGATTGTTTCATTGGATAAATAGAAAGCATTTAGGATTTTTCTGAGAGCTTTAGGTGGGAATTTCTGGATTCGTTGTGGAACTTAAAGTTTCAATTTATAATCTAGACATGTTTAACGATGCTATTGCAAACTAATCAAGAGTAACTAAGTTAGTCAGTGATTTACATGATCTTTTGTTAAGTCTTGAAAGGGATTGTAACATCCAATCAGTACGTGCTACTCTTGAGTAGCATATGTCTCTGTTAATCTGCACAAGTCTGGATGATTTAAACAATATCCTGTGAAAGCTTTGTACTTTGCTTTATTAAAACAACCTTTGAGAAGCGCTTTGAGGCCAGGGAAGATTCGAAGTCATTACTGAAGATGCCGAAACGCGTCTGACTGGCCAGCACAACCAAGGCAAAAAAACCACCACGACCAAATTACTGTTTTTTCATCCCCGCATACAACACAGAGAAATTTCACAATACTTCCAGTATTATTGGAGGTATGGAGTCAGACCTGGGTTTTGTCCGTTCTGCCCAAGGAAGTTAGGCTCCAGGACTATCGACAACTAGGTCATTTCAGCCCCCAACGCATCCAGTTGTTTAACCTAAACAGACTCACAATCCAATACAATTTTTCCAACTTAAATAACATTCATTCAAGTAGGAATTTAGAGTACTCAATCATCCATCACCCTTTACACATACATCAGCCCTCACACCTTACACATTCCCACTAATAAATACAATCGCACAAAATACGAGTTACATCTCTTTTAAAAAGAGCAACGTACATAAATATCCATAAAAAAGCGAAGCAGTGGGCTTAAAAACACACAATTCTTACATAGACCTATTCGCTCTCTATATGGAACCAAGGAATTGACATCTTTCGTTTAAGTGGGACTCATCGAGCAACTTTTCTCTACATGCCGTGCCTTTTAAACAAATTTTCACTGATGATTGTTCTGTTTCAGTTGATTCCAGTAGCGAATTTGATGCCGCCAGAGCCTACCTTAAAGAGCTGGACGTGGTCAACTTCGTCTGGACTGGTTTGAAGAGAGCTTCTTCAAAACAGAATTTCCTCTGGCCGTAAGTTGTAGTTTTTAAATTGTAATTAAATGTTACTTGCGATTTAAAGAATTTTACGAATCCTACTATGAAACTTTGTTTTGTTTATTTATATCGTGTTATAACGTTACCATTGTTCTTATTTGTTCTGTGTATTCGGACCAAATAGGCAACCAACTTGATTAAAGAGCGTTGAAAAGATAAAAGGACCAATTGACGGATAAAGAAGGGGAAAAATCAATTCATGTGACTTGTCCCATCGAACAGAGAGTTAATTAATTAAACAAGTCAGTAGTCATGTAAATGAAAACTTCAAATGTCCAGTAAGGTTTAAAAATAGACGCTTTAATTTTGTTGCTAATTCATATATGTATTGAGAAGTCATAATTGACATATTGAGTATTTTAATTAATTATACTTTTAATCTATATCTTATCTCGCGTTATCGTGAATTTCCCTTCACACGAAGCAAACTCGTTTCCTTGCGAGTGTAAAATAAAAATAAGAAAAAATATTTGTTCCACAAACTCAATTAAATTAAACGGAAAAGACAAAAATCGGGACCTGATCCAAATAAGTTATAACAAAACCTTAAAAAAAAAAATGTATTCAGATTTGAAAAAATAAAAATATGTGATCTATGACATACGCACCCCCCTTGCCATTTTCATAAAAAAAAGCAGGTGCCTTCAAGCAATATTGAGAGAGAGTCCTTCCTCGTCCTTTCGTAGCTCAGCTCGCACTGCCCGAGCCTGCGGTTGGGGATTAGCTTATCCTTTGAAATAAGCTTCTCATTTTTGAAAATATTGTTATAATCTTTACCAAGGTCTTGGTTGAAATGAAAAAAGCAAGTGTCACGAGCGGGATCCGAACCCAAATCACCGGAATTTCGTGACTTAGATCGCTCATTTCATCAAGTCTTTTCTGTCTACACGCAAATGTCAAAGAACGAACTATATCGCTACGAGCTAAATTTATTAAGTTACCATAGTTGGTATATCTTTTAAATAACATGGAACTCCAAGAGAAAAATTTTTGAACACCGTCTGTTGCAATTTATCTCTTTACAGCTTATACTGTGGGTGATCTGCTACGACAAATTTTAAAAGAAGTAGTACAACAAAGGTGACAATAAGACAAAGTTAAAAGCTAATGATTAGCAAGATAATTTAGTTAAAACCAGACTTTATAACAAGTTAGTCGGGATTCTAATTTCCTAAATCGTCTTGCTGTTTGCCTTTAAGCGGTGCAAGTACATATCCAGGGCCTTTCTTTGCCTCCGGATCTGCAATTTGATGCTCTATCTTTCCCCTCGTCCTGTCCTTTTCCTCAATTATGTCCCCATCACAAAGGGCTTGCCTTGCTTAGATTAAAATGGAACTTTTATCATCCGGCAAAAAAAAAGTGAATTACTTCGTAAAAGCTTTTACCCTTTGAACAAAAGACTTGTAACCTATTTTCTTGCCTTTCGTACACATTTTAAAATAAATACCCTGACATAAACAAAAAAATACCTGATACGAGCAATGACTTAAATACTATCAAAGACAAAAAAGCGGACACTCGTATTTTGCTGATTATTTCAAACTACATGTATTTTCATCGTTATATAAATTACAACTACATATTTTAATGTAAACCAAATTAAACGAGGTTAGATATTGGTGGGTTTTATAAAGAATATTTAGTTATGAAAACATCATAAAAAAAATCATCAAAACACCGTAAACTCGTTTAGTGATACAATAACATTTAACGAACAAGTTATTATCTGGTTTTGCTCTTGATAACACGTGTACGTATCCTCTTGATTTCGTCTTGTGAAACAGAATCCCATTCTTCAACAAGAGAGGTTTGAAGCTATTCCACGCTTTTGGAGGCGGTGAACCATGAACAGTCTGTTTATCATGTTCCATGAGAGTGTTCTAAGGGATTCATCTGTAGAACGTGCCAGTTCGTGGTGGTAATTCCTACGTCCTACAAATGGGCTCGAGCTCCATGCGGTAAATGGAGCGAATGGGACCACAGTTTCCAGAAGAACTTCGTCAATTAGAGTCAAAGATCCATTCTGGATGATAATCAGTTCGGTACGGTGATTCCACCTAATACCATATCTGACTGTCTTTGAAAAGACTGGGACTCACACATGGTACATTCCCACAAACCAAACGGCGCTTATGAAGGGAACAGCTCCCTTGTTCAAGTGCGCGTTGAGTGTAGTCGCATTTCTACTCGATGCCTCTCCAGTGGTAGAGAACCGATATGAGACGTCTAGTGTCTAGGAGCCTTCTGAAGACTGTTTTAGAGCTTATCCTTAATTTCGAACTGTTTGGAGTTGAATACCCTATCGAGGAGTTAAATGATGGTTATGAGCAATAAAACGATCGTCGAACATCGCGGTCGACCATTACCTTCTCCTTCGATCGAGACTTTCGATGACACTAAACAACCCAGGATTTGGGCTATGTAACGGACGGTCCGTTTTTGTACAAAGCGTCTGCTCGGGCGAGATCTTCTCGACTTAAAATTGTACTTGGTGGAAAATTAATGAAGGTTTTGAAAATTTGTTTTGTTTTCGCAGGTGCTTGTCATGTAAATAATTCTAAATCCTCAAATCTAATTTATGGATTATAATAAATACTTTTAACTGTTATCTTTTTACTAAACATTTTAGTTTATATTGAATTTTATAAGAGTGAGGGGCTGTGAAATTAAATATGTACAAACTAGATTTTAGTCCAATTTATTTTTACGATTTTAAACTTGAGCAAAGTGCGGCCCAAACTGCGCGTAACGTCAATACAGTTGGGGCGGAGGGAAGCATCAGCCTGGAGCTGCGGTGGTTTCAGAGATTTCGATAAGGGAAAGCATTACGTTGTGGACGATGACCAACTCAAAACGTTGATTGAAGAAAATTAACGAAAAATAATACGGAAGAGCTTTGTTGACCACTCGACCGTTGTTCGCCATCGGGAGCAAATTGATAAAGTGAACAAGCTCGACAAGTGAGTACCGCACGGATAAAACAAAAGCCCAAAGAAATCGACGCTTTGAAATTTGCACGTCTCTTCTGTTGCGCCACCAAAATGATCCATACAAATCGAAGCAGTATCGTACTGGTCAGTGGTTGGACAAGGATGAAGCGCCAAAACCCTTCCTGAAACCAAATCTGCACCCAAAAAAGGTTATGGTGAGTTTGGTGGTGTACTGCTGGGGGGTGGTTCACTATATTTTCCTGAATTATGTTGAACCTATCACAGAAGCAAATGCTGCCAAGAAATTGGCAAAATGCACGTGAAACTGCAACGTCTTTGCCCAGTATTGATAAACAGTAAGGGGCCGGTTCTTCTTCACCATAATGCCAGGCCACATGTCGCAATGCCAACCCTGCGGAAACTTAAGAACTTAGGATATGAACCCTACCGCTCCCTCCGTATTCACCCCACCTTTCTCCTACAGACTTCGACTTTTTTAGACATTTTGATCACTTCTTGTGGGATAAAATTTTTAGAATACGCCTGGCGCTGAAAACGCCTACCAAGACTTTATTGTGAGTCGTAATAAAAAAATGTATGTTAACGGAACAAAAGCGTCTGTTACACGATGGCAAAGATGTATTATGATGGAAAATGATTCAAATAAATTTTCTTTATTTTATAAAACTTCAAAATAATTTTCATTAATTATTCTTTTTATGTAAGAATTTGGTTAAAATGAAAAAGTTAGCGTCACGAGCGGGATTCGAACCCACGACCTTCGGCTCAATACGCCGCTGTCTAACCACCTGAGCTATTGTGACAGGTCGTGGGTTCGAATCCCGCTCGTGACACTAAGTTTTTCATCCCAACCAAGATCTTACATAAAAAAATAATTGATTCAAATAAGTAATTTGGTCAATAAACCTCTAAACATAAATGGATTAAAAATAATTTTGACTGCCTTTTCAAAATGTGCAATATTGTTACACCAGCCCAATTTTTTACTCAAATTGATTGTTTCATCAAAAAAAAAAACAGTTTAAAAAAAAACAATTAATTCCCTCGACAAGATGCAGAGGCATCCAGAGGTAAAGGGTGAAATTGAAAGGATTTTTTTCATTTTTAATCTAAAGAGTGTAAAAGGATTAGTAACACAATAAAGGTGAACTTTGTGTTTACATTTTAATTCAACTATTATTCTTTACATCTAGTAATTACAGAAAATAAACAAATAAATACAAGCGTCCGAGTTTTTTATCTTTGAGAATAAATTTTTGCCTTTAAATAAATACAGAACACAATGACATTAAAGAAGGGTTTATGTAAAACAAACTTCTACTGGCGAACAAAACTATAAAATATGTCGTTTTATACTTTAGAGACAGTTTAAACATCACTGTTCTTTCTTATTCATTTTGTTTAATATTTTTAGCAACTATAGTATAAATGGGTTGAATCTGGTAACTCAAAAACTTAGTACTGTCTTTTATTTAAATCTGTCAACGGAATTCTTCTATAAAAGAAGTACCCTAACCGCAGAAGAATAAAATGGCCTTGGGTGAACCGTAGCCATGCTAATAGGTGTTTAAAGAAACAGAATGGCCACGGAATGGATTCTATTGCTACGCAGCAGGGAAAGCAACCCTTAGAGAAGGGTTGAATAATAAAATAAATCGTTGAACGAAGCGAAAAGAAAAATACGAAAACCCTGTGTTTTTGGTGCAGGGTCGATTGAATAGTCTAAATCAGGGGTGCTCAAACGGTCGATCGCGATCGACCAGTCGATCGCGAGTGCTTTTTGAGTAGATCTCGAGAAGAAAAAAATTTTNTGTACCTATATTGTGCAGAAAGCTAATATCTATATATGCTACGGTACACCCTACCTAGGTAGGTAGGGTGTATCGTGTATGTACGACAACCCTGCATCACACACACTTGCAGCCTCTCAGAGTCGATCGTAAGTAGTCTAAAAATATTGAGGTAGATCGCCAGCAGTTCAAGTTTGAGCACCCCTGGTCTAAATAATATAAATTTGTACATTTTTCCTTATGTTTTATGTTTTATAATGTTTTATAAACAGGCAAAATATTCCACTAATTGATTTTTTTCTCAGTAAAAGAAAATTCTGCCCTTAATTTGTCTCATTGTTTTTATCAATAAATATTTGTTTATGTTATGTTTTAAATTGGGAATACCAATTAGAGGTAAACACAATTAATCCTTAATCCAAAACAAGGTTGTTGTTTTTGAATGATTACTTTTTACGAAATTTAATATTTATTCAGTTTCATTTGAATTCTGAAGCAATAAACTGTTTATTTTTCATCTTTGTTTTCTTAATGTCAATTTTTAAACTTAAAAATGCCACTTAGGCTGAGGATGTTGTGCGTGGTGTGGCATTTATTGATGGTGGACGTTCCATCAGGAATGCTGCTATTGCCATCGGAGTTCCCTACGAAACGCTGCTAGACGCCGTTAGATATGACCGTTTTTTTGACTTGACTTTTGCGAAACCGGCAATTTACTGTTGTTCAAGCGATTCATCAGCTCCAGGAATTCGAGGTGTCCAAATTTCTAAACGCACTGCTCGAGGACCTCAATTGACCAGAACACACTGCTCGCGTTTGCTCGAGAACACAGCCATTGATCTTTGGACGATTGGTCTGCTGAACTTTTTACAAGTTTAAGTGCAGAATTGCCCTACGATCTCCAGGTGGGCCTGAAAGAGAGGGGAGAAGGCGAAACGAAAGGTACGAAGTCTGTGATTTTTCCCAGAGCCAACCTTTTCAACGTAGCTCAGTGATGGCGCGGGCGGGAATTTCAACGGAGAGTCGCACAGAGTTGGTTGTTGTTCGAGGTGGGTATTTGACGGCCACTCGCAATGTGGATGCAATTTTGTAACATCATGCATTCCACACGCTCGCACCAGAATTGACAGAAACGTACCTTCAACAGTATAACATCAAGGTGTTACCCTGGCCAGTACGTTCTCCAGACTTGAACCCCATCGACATTTATGTGATAACCTCAAAAGACGAATAAGAGCATGTCCATCACTTCCTGATACACTCCACGATTTTGAAAAAACCCTCTGTTAAGAATTGGCTACCCTCCAGCAAAGAGACATTTCCAGATGGTAAAAGTATGCCGAGGAGTCTTGTGATGGAATGAAGGCGAGAGGAGGAAAAACGCGATATTGAAATGTTTATTAAAAATGTGTGGTGATTAGTGACCGTTAATCGATAATTATTCAGAAATCGTGAGATGCGGTCTGGTGTGATGTAGGTTTCAGAAAAACATTTTCTTTATCGTGCCAACGTTTCGATCTTT